CGCTGCACCGCTGCCGTAGGTAGGACGGGGGAGTAGGTGGTATGGGGAGGTCCTCCTCCTCCCCCTCCTCCTCCTCCTCCTCCTCCTTCTCCTCCTTCTCCTTCTCCTCCATCCCTTATCCTCATAGATAACTCCAACCCGTCGCACCCCGAGTCCAATGTTCTTCTAGGGCGGGCCGGGCGTTTCGCCTGAGAGTTCCCCACAACTTACGACTCTGAAGCTTAAGTTTCACGGATGGAGGGCGGGCCGTTTTCAAAATGTGACTCTCCTCGCCTCAGCGTCGCGCACAATCGTTGGACAAATTGCAAGAGCTTCAAAGATTGAGGGAGGGTGTTTTGTTTTGTGGCTCTCGCCATAGCGCTGCGCACATTGGATTTAAACATTTGCAAGAGCTTCACGGATTGAGGGCGGGTGGTTTTCCAAATGTGACTCTCGCCTCAGCGCCGCGCACATTCGTTTCAAACATGGTATGGGTTTCACGCATTGAGGGCGGTTCCTTTTCGAAATGTAGCTCTCGCCTTAGCGCCGCGCACATTCGCTTTAAACAGTCGCAATAGCTTCACGGATTGAGGGTGGATCCTTTTCAAAACGTGGCTCTCGCCTTAGCGCCGCGCACATTCGTGAACAAATTACAAGAGCTTCACGGATTGAGGGCGGCTCCTTTTCACAATGTGGCTCTCGCCGTAGCGCCGCGCGCATTCATTCAACAAATTGCAAGAGCTGCACGGATTGCGGGCGGCTCCTTTTCAAAATGTGGCTCTCGCCTTAGCGCCGCGCACATTCGTTTTGAACATTTGCAAGAGCTTCGCTGATTGAGGGCGGTTCCTTTTCAAAATGTTGCTCGCGCCTTAGCTCCGCGCACATTCGTTTTCAGCATTTGCAGGATTTCCGCGGCTTTCCATGATTCACGTACCATGGTGTTTTGATAGGAGTCAGGATTATGCGGACGCAACAGCTATGTTGATTCGCTGTGCCGAAGTATTATGGCACGATTCTGGATCGTCAAGACGCAACAGTCAGGATGATACGTGGCGTTGAAATCCTGAGAACAATGTTTCGGCACGCTTCAGGATCTTCCAACTGTTGTCTTCCAGCGAGGCAGTTCCTCACTGGAAATGAGCCGTTGTATGGGGCCTATGAAGAGGGAGCTTGGAGGGAGAGTTAATTCCAGCATCGTTGATGACTCTTGGATTTCCACTGGTCGTCCTCCTCCTCATCCTCCTCCTCCTCTCCCTCCTCCCCGTCCTCCTGCTCCACCTCCTCCTCCTCCTCCTCCTCCTCCGCCTCCACCTTCCCCTCCTCCTCTCCTCCTACATATGGTAGTGGTGGTGGAAAATCGGCCCCTCATGAAGCACGCGCACCGCCCCTCGCCGCCTCGAGCGGCCTCCTCCCCCCAGACCCCTAGAAGTCCTGATTTTGCAGTGGCGTCGGCCCCCCGAAGTCTCGACTTCGAAATCCCGTAGTCACTCCTAAAGGGGGGATTTGGAATGGAAAGTTGTTATTAAAAATCCAAAGATATATCAACATATTCAAACATGGTTTAAAAATCGCCCCTAGACAATTTTCAATTATTTTTGAATCTTCCTCCTGTAGAGCGACGTGCCCGACTTAACCCCAGTAGTTGTTTGATGGTCCCGAGGCCCAGTGAGGGCCCCCCAGAGGCCGAAAATAGCAATCCCCGTTCGGATTTCTTCACAACCCGAGGGGGCCTTGATGGGCCTGCTTTCCACAACCACCACCATAAGCTGGAGGAGGAGGACGAGGAGGAGGAGGAGGAGGAGGAGGACGAGGAGGGGAAGGAGGAGGACCCGCTCCCCCTCCAAGTGATGGTGGTGGTGGTGGGCAAGAGGCCAATAAGTGGAGGCCCTCACGAGCGGGCGCGCCGACGCGGGCCACGAGCGGCGAGCCGCGCCCTCGCGCTGTGGAGCCCGGGCGCGCGGACCCCCGCGCACGAGTGCGCGGTCGCTCGGGCACGTGCCGCGCGGGGGGGGCCTCCGCGACGGAGGCGCCCCGCATCCGCCGGGGCGCAGCCCAGCGGCCGGGCCCGCCAGGCCGCGGGTGCGGGTGCGCCTGTCGCCCACGGGACGGGCGGAGGGGTGCCAGGACGAGGGGGCGGAGCGCACCGTGCCCCGAGGTACGCGGTCGGACGAAGGGGTGGGTGGGCAGGGAGCGGTAATGACAAGAAGAAGAAGAGGAGTAATCATGAAAATGATAATACGAATACTAAAAGTCATAATGCGAATAATAGTAGTATCAGTAATATTAGTGCAAACACTAGATTTAAATACTACTACTCAATTAAATTAAAAATATCAGAATGCGAATGATATTATGAGTACTTCGCAGAACTACCTCAACACTAGTAATGTTACCACGAATAAGAGCAATAATGGCAATAAGAATAATTATCCCAGTGCGACCCTACCTAGGAGTTGGAGCCTCTAGGAAAGCAACATTAATTGGAGCGGTAAACGCCGTCCTCCTCCTTCTCCTCATCGTCGTAGTCGTAGCAGTAGCGGTAGTAGTAGTAGTAGTAGTAGTAGTAGTAGTAGTAGTAGTAGTAGTAGTAGTAGTAGTAGTAGTAGTAGTAGTAGTAGTAGTAGTAGTAGTAGTAGTAGTAGTAGTAGAAGTAGTAGTAGTAATAGTAGTGGTGGTAGTAGTAGTAGTAGTGGTAGTAGTAGTAGTAGTCGTAGCAGTTAGTAGTAGTAGTAGTAGTAGTAGTAGTAGCAGCAGCAACAGTAGTAGTAGTAGTAGTCGTCGTCGTCGTCGTCGTCGTAATAATAGTAATTGGACCTCTAGGAAGCCACAAAGTAGTAGCGTAGTTAGCGCTGTATATGGTCTCTAGGAGGGTACGTGCGCACACATACACACATACGTATGTTTATATATAGCAGCTATGCTATGCTCTGCTATGCTATGTTATGCCATGCTATGCTGCGCAATGCTATGCTGGGCTAGGCTAGGTTAGGCTATGCTATGTTATGCTATGCTGCGCTATGCGATGCTGCGCTATGGTATGCTATGCTATGCTATGCTTTGCCATGTTTTGCTTTTGCTTTGCCTTCGCTTTTGCCTTCACGCTTGCCTTTGCTTTTGCTTTGCTTGGCACCCAGGGAGCGCAACTGGGGGAACCGCGCGTTTGCTTTTACCTTTGCTGTTGCTTTTGCCTGGCTCCCAGGGGACTGGGGGAACCGCCCGGGGCGCTTTCCACTGCCCGGCCCCTTTAAGCCAAGCGAGTAAGAACCCTTATAGGCAGAGCCTAGGTAGGGAATAAGAACAATACTAAGAAAACTGCGATTCAGAAGACGAGTAAGAAAAAAAAAAGCAGATGGAGAAAAAAGAAGAAGACGAATGCTGATGATTATGATGATTATACGAGTACGGCGACGAAGAATCATGATAAGAAGCCGAAGAAGGAGGAGAAGAAGAGAAACTCTGGGGGCCCTCACCGGCCCCATGGGGGCATGACATCTCTGGGGGCATGACATCTCTGGGGGCCCTCACCGGCCCCATGGGGGGGCCCTGCAGAAGCAAAACATGACAGAAAGCATCACGGCGGGGAGCTTTCCGCCCTTCTTCGGGCCCTGGGGGCGCACCCCGGCCCTCTGGGGGCCCTCGCCGGCCCCACAAGGGGGCCCTGCAGAGGCCAAAGAAAAACCGAAAACCTTCTGTCGTGATTTCAGGAAGCCGAGCGGTCGGCGAGTGGCTGAAGTGAAGGTCTGCGGTTCAGATTGTTGCTGTTGTTGAACTCCCACTACTGAACAATAATACCTGTTGGTCCACCCCCTCTGGTGACCATTGTGTTTTGTCCACTTGAAGTGTTTTCCCCGGGGCTCGCATCCTGCTCTTGAATTAAGGAAAATTGCTCGGTTCAAACAGTGTTGTTGGCCCCATTATATATATATATATATATATATATTATTTGTTGTCTTAAAAAAAAAAAAACGCTCCCGCCTGATATGTCCTAACATTTCTTCCCAAAATCGCGCTCTCGCGCGGGAATCGCGCTCTCGCGTAGGACGCAATGTATTAAGACGATGCGCCCTCGGCGCTTAGGAATCATGTTCTCGCTTAGGCTTGTCTTGCGATGTACTTGGGTATCGCGCTATCGCTCGAGAATTCCTCGCGATTCATGCAGGACCCACGCTTCAGCAACCCGCCTGCTCGGCCTGGTCGCCTGGGCCCGCTTTCCCAACCTGCCCGCTATGGGTCTGCCCACCCGATCTACCCATCTGGTGCTACCACTTGTTTTCTGCTCCGTGCCCCCTCTCCTGCTAATTTCTCTCATGCTCCATTTGTGTCCCTCTCCGTTCCACCTGTCTTCTCTTTTCTTGTTTGAAGGGCTGCACTACATGCACGTGACAGGTGAGGAAGATATACCCCCAAGGGGGTACGATCGAAAACGACGAGGGCGGGTACCGAGGGTTTGGGATAGACGTATTGGTTGGCACGCGAGCAAATAGGAGCGAACAGTCTCGAAACGATTATTGTTGTTGTTAGCGTTGGTGTTGTTGTTGCTGCTGCTGTTGTTGTTGGTGGTGGTGGTGTGCTTGTTGTTGATGTTGTGACGCTGAGGTTGTTGTTGCTGCTGCTTTTGTTGCTGGTTCTCTGTTGTTCGTGCTTCGTGTCCCGAGGGGGCCAGGGGCCCGGGGGCCGTCCCGCGCGCGCCGCCCGGGGGGCCGCCCGTCCCGGATGGCCGCGCCGACCGCGCGGTGGTTCTCGTAGGCCAGCGCCGTGTCGAGCAGCCGGCCCCCGAGCAGCAGGAACTCCAGCGTGGCATTCCGGGCCTGCCGCGCGCGGGGGGGGGGCGCGCGCGGGGGCCGCGGCGGCCTCGTCGTCGGCGGTCGAGGCAGAGGTGGCGGCGCCCAACGACTAGGGTGGCGGGGCGCAGCGATTGGGTCGGGCACTGTCCCCCTACAGGCGGATTTTGAGAGCCAACACATAGTGCTCCCAACATGATGAAATTGTCATAAGGGGGACAAACACACAGCCACAGCAAGAACCGCTTGCCCTCCCCTACAAACATCCGTTTTCCCACAACTTAACCACCCGCCCGTCCTCTCCACTCTCCGATACCATGGAGACCTTCCCGACTCCCCCCAATCACGAGTGCACACAACACTGTCCTTGAGCCATCTAATCCAGACAGCTCTGGCGCTGGGCACACTACCATAACAAAGCGGTCACAGGACGTTTTCCCCAGGAACCCGGTGTTTCGTCCTGCGCGAGCCGGTCTCGACTACACTGATCAGTCGGCATACGGTAGTGACACCACCCGCTGCCTATTAACGCGCGTTCGGCCAGACACAGAGAGCCACAGTGAGACTAACACACTAACCGCGTCGCTCTCAGGTCGTGGGTGCGCTGCCCACCAGCGGGGGGCGGGGACTCTGAGGGGGGGGGGATTTCGATCCGCTGGTGCATCGAATTTCCGAAAAACGATGCCCCCCGCGCGCCCCGATTGTCGACGCCTCTCGGGTTCCGGCGGCGGCCGGAGACCTCGTTTTGCACCGTTGTTCTGCGGTTCGATGCGCCAACGGACCGAACTCCCCCCCCCTCCGTGGCACCCCCCGCCCTTTGCGAGGTCCCGGCAGAGGCCGAACACGAGGAACAACTCCCCGCCGTGACTTTCTGTTCGCGACCCGACGGGTCTGAGCGGGGCGCGCCGTGCCGCTTTTCCTTCCTCGTGCCCAGGCGTTCGCCTGACTTTCAGGCCGCGGCTTCCGTGGCCCTGTCGGTCATTGCGCTGTGGCTGTCGCGCTCACCTCTGTCTCCCCCCAAACCAAAACGAGGATCCCGGTCCGAGCATCAAGGAGGTCGGTCCCCCCGCCCGCGTCAGGGGCGGCGCCGCTGGGGGGGCTCATCGCTGATCCATGAGATCCGCGCGGAGCGTCGAACGTTTAGGTGTGTACCGTGGTCTCTTCCTCGATGCTGTACCCTGTACCTGGTGGATCCTCGTCTGCGCTCGCTCGGGCGCACTCGAGCTCCAACGCCTCCCGCCGCCGCGCGCGCGCGGGCGCCTTCTCCCTGCAGTCTCCGCCCACCGCGGCGTCTGGCTCGCACTTCGGGAGCCCCAGCCCAGCCTGGCCGTCGCGCTCGTCGCCGCCGACGCTGCCGCAGCCGCCGTCCGACTTCCGCCGCCGCCGACCGCCGCCTCCAACGGCCCCCCCCGGGAAACTGTGCAAACTCTTCAAATTCCTAGGGGGCAAACAAACCTACCTCGCTTTTGACCATCCTCGCTTCCAAGAGATGCCAAGCGATGCCAAACTACGGCCTGTACTGGTCAGGCCGCTTGACGAGGAGGCGCGTGGTATGACATGGTCTTGCCTGGAAGCAAAAGCGGGGTAGGTAATTCACGCTCTGAATTCCGACTGGCGACGACAACGACGGAAATTTGGCGGCAGTGACAACGACAACGACGGAGAAGCATGCCAGCGACGGCGACGACCACGGCGGCGACTGGCAGCGACGGCGGCGGCGACGACCGACCGCCCTCAGGCCTCTCCTGGGCGTGCGCTGCTGCGGGGAGCCCCGAGGCGGACACGCCCGGGCCCGCGAGGAGGGCCCGCCAGACGCCCAGAGGGGGCTCCAAAACGCCGAGGGAGCCCAGACGTGGTCCATCGATCTTCCAGCCACCGACGACGACGACGACAGCAACGACGGCGACGGCCTCCGAGAACTTCAGGGAGCCTCCGGCAGCCTCCGAGAGCCTCCAGGGCCCTGCGAGAGCCTGCGAGCACAGTAAGAAACAGACCGTAAACAGCCGAAAACCGCCGAAAACCTCCGAAACCATCCCATGAGGGCCGGACACCACCGACGACGACGACGACGGCGGCGGCGGCGGCACTGCCGACGGCGGAGGCGGCGACGAACCGCGCCCCTGGATCGACCAGTCCTGGATCGCCGCCGACGCCGCCGCCGCCGACGACGCTGACGATAACGCTGCCGCCGACGACGAGGACGACGACGGCGATGCCGCCGCCGCCGATGACGACGACGACGACGACGACGACGACGACGACGACGACGACGACGACGACGACGACGACGACAACGGCGGCGGCGGCGGCGGGCGGCGGCGGAGCGGCGGCGGAGCGGCCATCGGCATCGCCCCTCCGCCACCGGGGAGGCGCACCCGCGGCACCTTGACGTCGCCAGGGCCTGCACGGGCGCCGGCGACGTCGACGCCGCAGACGCGGCACCAGCCGCCGCCGACGCTGTCGCCGCCGCCTCCGCCGCCGACGTCGCCGCCGCCGCCGTCGACGTCGTCGTCGTCGTCGTCGCCGCCGCCGCCGCCGGCGTCGACGTCGTCGACGTCGTCGTTGTGGGGGCGTCGTCGGCGCCGCAACCGCGGTTGCCGTCGCCGCCGCCAACGGCGTCGCCGCCGCCGTCGGGCCCGCCATCGGGCACACGGGGCCTTGGACGGGGAGAGGGGGGGGGAAGGAGGGCAGAGAGGGGGCCTCTCTCCTCCTGCTCCCCCTCCTCCTCATCCTCCTTTTCCTCCTCCTCCTCCTCCTCCTCCTCCTCCTCATCCTCATCCTCTCCTCCTCCTCATCATCATCCTCCTCTTCCTCCTCCTCCTCCCCCTCCTCCTCCTCCTCCTCGTCCTCCTCCTCCTCCCTCCTGGCACCTCCTCCTCCTCCTCCTGCACCTCCTCCTCATCCTCTCCTCATCCTCCTCCTCCTCCGCCTCCTCATCAGCATCTTCCTCCTCCTCCTCCTCCTCCTTCCTCTCCTCATGGCAACCTCCGCCTCCTACCTCCAGCCCCTCCTCCTCGTCCTCCTAGTCATCCGCCTCGCTCCTCCTCCTCCTCCTCCTCCTCCTCCTCCTCCAACTCCAACTCCTCCTCCTCCCCTCCTCCTGCCGGTGGCACGGACTGGACAGGGCCCCTTCGCGATGCGAGCCTCCAGTGGGCAGTGCCCCCGCTGAGCTTGGCGTGGGCCGCGGGTGGCGAGGCAGTGCCCTGGCCAAGGGAAAGCAAGGGCGGCCAAGGGCACGAGACGAGCCTCAGATGGGGCGAGGCTTCGGGCCCTGCTGGTGCGAGGGCTCTCGGCCGGGCGCGGAGGCTCCTCCTGGCAGGCCGGGGCAGGGACGGGCCCCGCAGGCGCTGCCCGGAGCCAGGCTGCGCCCCGGGGGCCCCGCCGGGGGCGAGGGCGCTCGGCACGGGCCGCGCGCGCGTGGCGGAGCACCGCTATGAGCCCGCGGCGCTGCACGCAGGCGAGGTGCGCGGCCGCCGAGCACGCCGAGCCGCCCTGCGCCCGCCGCCCTCGCGGGCTGCTCTGGGGGGCCCACGCGAGGGAGCTGCCGCGCCGCCCCCCAGCAGAGGGCGGCGTCGGCGGCCCGATCGTCTGCGCACTCGCCGACGTGCAGCGCGGCCTCTGTGATCCGGGCGCTGCGCTTTTGCTCACGGCGGGCGTTCTCGCTCGGGTCGGGGCCCTGGGGCCCTCACGGATCGATCGGGCTCGACGATGCAGCAGGGAGCTGGTGTGCGGGGCTCCGGTCGTGATGTGTGTTGCGATGCTGCTTCAGTGTTTGACGTCGGATCTCAGGGGGGTGCGGCACGCGGCATGCGCCGCTGGACAGCACACACCCACTTTGTGGCGTCGCGGCCCTGCGCGCGGCGACAGGGCGGAGAAAGTCGCAGAGCAGCAGTCGCGAGCGCGCGACCAAGAGCGCCCGAGCTCTCAGAGACTGCTGAAGCTCCCGCAGCAGCCGGCTGCCACGAGTCGTCCGGGCGTGGATGATGGGGGGAGCGTCTGAGGGACGAGGTCACTTACGGTGTGGTGGAGGTGCCACGCCCGTTCGTGTGCCGGATGTCAGGGGGGGACGCACAAACGTCCTCGGGGCGCAGGTGGTTTAACCTCTTCCGGGCTCCTTCTTGTCCCTTCGGGGCAGGGTTTGCCCCTCCCCCGGCCCCGCGTCGCAGCACTCCCCCCCCATGTTGACCGGATGTGGCTGGCAACCTGGCGCGGTGGTCGCCCCTGTCCAACCGGCGAGAAAAAGACAAGCAGCGAAAGATCTTGCTGGGCGGAGCCCGAGGTTTGAGGGTTTGGAGGGGGACCCCTTCGGACTCGTGCAAAGTTTTTGTTTGGGTGCTCTCTTGGGGCTCTGGTGTAGCCGGGCCCCAAGACTTGGGGTCCTGTGGGTCTCGGATTGGGCCCACCTGGAGCTCTCTTGGGGCTCCAGTGCTCCAGTGGGGCTTCATGGAGCCTTAGGAGCCCTCCTCGGGCCGTCATGCGACCAGCAATGCGTCGGGTACAGGTTCAGATTGTCATGCTAGCCGTTTCGCGATCTGCAATTGTTGTGGGGCTAGCTACTGCCGTTGTAGGGCCCGATGGAGGCATCTGGACCTGTTTTGAACCTCTAGGCGCCTCTGGGGCATCTTTTGGGCGATTACGGACCAGATTTGGAACCTGAAGATCCCGTTGGAACCAGAAAGCCCACGGGCAACATGCGTACCCTGGGCCTGGCTCTGGACCTCTGCTTCGTGCGACTGTTTGCAGCAGTGCGTCCTATGGAGGAAACCCCACCTGCTTGAAACAGGCGCCAAAAGCGGCCAAGATCTACTCCATCGGGGAGGGCAGTGGGTGCGAGAGCCCGCGCCGCTCGGCAGAACAGTGAAATGAGAACACGATCATATGACCGAAGCCCTTTGGAGGTGTTTGACCGTTCTTGGCCCTTGCGGTCCTCCTGAGGAGGCTCCGTGGTCAACTCGGGCCGTGCCGTGGCGTGCTGGAGGACTCGGCCCTGTGGAGGCCAGCTTGGGCCATGTTTTGAGCAGGGACCGACCGTCCCGGCATTCCTATAGTCCTACCACGAACTGCTCTTAGAACCCAGAAATGTTCTGATAACAAAAGCAGTGTTCTTAGAACAGAGGCCCGCTGTGGCAAAACAAGACAGCCCCAACCACAAATGTTCTGAGAACGTTTCGTGGGAAGCACGAGAGGATCTTAGAACATGGTTTGGTAGGATTCTGGGCACGCCAAGACGCTTCGCCACTGCTTGCATGTTGGACCACCTGGGCTCCCTCTCGGCGGCTGTCCGGGGAGAACCGCCTCGCCTCGCCACGCCATGCCGAGGCCGAGGCGGGGGGCGCGGCGCCCTGGCCCCGGGGCCGAAGGGGCGGTTGGAGGGGCTGGGCTGCTCTCTTGGAGGCCTCCTCCTCCCTCCTCCCTCCTCCCTCCTCCCTCCTCCTCCTCCTCCTCCTCCTCCTCCTCCCCCTCCTCCCTCCTCCTGCTCCTCCTCCTCCTCCTGCTCCTCCTCCTCCTCCTCCTCCCTTCTCCCTCCTCCCCCCTCCCTCCTCCCTCCTCCCTCCTCCCTCCTCCCTCCTCCTTTTTTCCTCCTCCTACCTCCCTTCATCCTCCTCTCCTCCTCCTCCTCCTCCTCTCCTCCTCCTCCTCACTCTCCCCTCCTCCTCCTCCCTCCTCCCTCCTCCCTACTCCCTCCTCCCTCCTCCCTCTCCTCCTCCCTACTCCCTATCCCTCCTCCCTCCTCCCTCACTCCCACATCCTCCCTCCTCCCGAGCTCCCTCCTCCCTCCTCCTCCATCCCTCCTCCCTCACTCCTCCCTCCTCCCTCCTCCTCCTCCTCCTCACCTCCTCCCTCCTCCCTCCTCCTCTCCCATCCTCCCTCTCCCTTATATACTTCCCCCTCCCTCCTGACGTTGCTTCAGACCTCCCTCTACCTCTACAGTACATTTCTCCCTATTGTGGTTCCTCCCCCTCGGCCACGGACGCGCCCCGCGCCCGGCGTGCCGCGGGCGCGGGCGGGCGGGCCCGAGACACCAGCACAGGGGGGGGGGGCCTCCACGGGGGGGAAGAGGGTCCCAGGCGTCGGTGTTGGTGGTAAGAACGTGGGATGACGATTCAGAAAAAAAGGAGGGGGGAACGATTCAAAAAAAACGTTTCCCACACCGGGGGGGAACGCTCAGAAGCAGGGCTCGCCTGTGCGGTGTTTCGTCACCGGGGGGGGGGCGCGCGCCCGAGGACGGCGGGGGGGGGGGACGATTAAAAAATAGTTTCCCAGCCCGGGGCCGGTTTTTTCTAATCATCATCCCGGGCGCCGCCGCGTGAACACGACCCCCGGTCATTTTTTAATCATCATCCTCCATTACTTCGGCCACCTTGGAAGCCAGAATCTTACCACCATCACCGAGATCGGAGTACGCTCCCCTCGGTGGAGGCGCACCTCCGATGCCGGTGCTGGTGCCAACCTCCAGGCCTGCGATGTTCTGCGTGAGGGGCAGGCCCTCGCCTGGGCCTGGACCCGCTCCCCGCGAGGCGTCCGAGGGTCCGCCGCTCTATGGCCCAAGACGCCTCCGCGGCTGCCCCAGATGGCAGATGGCCCGGGGTGGCCTCCAAGATGGCACGAGATGGCTGACGCTGGCGACCTTCAACGTGTCACGAGACAGCTGACGTTGGCCGCCAGCGCGCCTCCGTCGACGGCAGCTCATGGGAGCCTCCCATACCCTCTTGTCGGCGCCTGCGAATCGACGCTCATCGAGGCTAGTCGACGCTAATCGACGCTAGATCGACGCCGATCGACGCTAGCCGACGCAAAATCGGCGCTATCCCATCGATTCAGAGGCCTGGGCACAGCTGCCGCATCGCAGTTGCATCGGCGATGCGGCGCGATCCTCCGGCCCCGACCCCCTCGGACCCCATCTGAGCGACGGAAAAAAACGCGCTTTACGCGACAAAGCACAGCGACCTCAGGCGGCGGCCTGCGCGGGCCACCGGCGCGGCACGCCACGGTGGATACGAGGGCGCTTACGCGCAGGTCTCGTGGCCTGGCGAGGGCCTCTGGAGGCCGAAGATTGTCAAAAACCCGTCGCCGTGATTCTTGTCGATCCTCGATCCCAGACCCCCGACGCCATGATTTTTGTCATGATCCTCGAGGGCGCTCGTCGCCGCTGCTCGGCAGGGCGGGGCCTGCGCGGGGCCGCAGCGCGACGCCGCCGACCGCGCACGGCGCGCCGCAGCAGAGAAGCGCCAGCAGTGCCCGCAGCGCCGCCCTCGTGAGGGGCAGAGACGGGGTCAGGGGCGAGCGAGGGGGGGAAGTTCCGGGCTCAGGGTTCGAGGTGTGTTCGGGCATTATCGTCGGTGCCCGGCGGCTTTCCAGCCCCGGGATGCTTGCCAGCGGCTGCGCCTCGCCGAGGGCGTTCCGAGGGTACCCTGAGTGTCCCGAACGGCATCCGGAGACCCGAGTGATGACCCAAAAACCAAAGTCGGCGGCGCGCCCAAGGAGGAAGTGAGAAGGAGAACGCCTTCTCAGAAGGCGGCGGGACTTCGCAGGAGCCCTCGCGCCCTGGGAGAGGTGTGCTGTGTCTTCGGGGAAAGCTCAGACAACTTCTCAGAAGGCGGGGGGATTTCCGAGCCTTCTGAGAAGGGCCGCCCCTTCTCGATTGCCCCCAGGTCTCATCGCTCATAGGTGAGGACTTGCACAGAGAGGAAACATCGACCTGCAATCAGCGGTACATCGCGGATCCGCCATCGCGCTTTGTGCCCAATGGGCTTGTCAAACTGCTTGCTGTTGTCTGCGAGGTGTCTTTAGTTTTCTAGGGCTGACCCCCCTCGTAACACGCAGCTCTCGAAGATCGCCTCTTCAGAAATTGTTTTCTGGCGCTCTTTTCGGCTTCCAATAAGCCAGTATGGCCTCTAGGACGGCTTGTGCTCCAAAATGGCACCAAGACGGCACAGAGATGCCCCCAAGACGGCTTCCAAAGGCGTCAGACGAGCGAATCGCCTCCCGAAGACGGCCTAAGATGCCCTCAAGATGCCCCCAAGAGGCCCCGGTAGGCCCCCAAGAGGCCCCCAGGAGGCTTCCCAGGAGACTCCCAGGAGACACCCAGGAGGCCAAGATGGCCCCAAGAAGTTATCTCCTCGTCCTCATTTTCTCCCCATCCTCCTCATCCTCTTCTTCCTTCTCCTCCACATGTTCCTCCTCCCCCTCCTCCTCCGCCTCCTCCACCTCCTCCTCCCCCTCCTCCTCGTCCTCCTCCTCCTCCTCCTCCTCCATCTCCTTCTCCTGTTCCTGTCCCATGGCCATATGGGGGGATGATCCGCAGGCTGCACAACAAATTCAACTCGAATCGACGTTACTCCCATCACGTGGGCCTCACACTAGCGATCAAGAAGACACAAGAAACATGCCAATTCGGGGTCAAGAGGGGGTGATGGGTCGCTTCCGCATCCTGCGCCAGCATGTCTGAGACGTCTCAAGAGCCGCGGCCTGTTCCGAAGGTATTTCTTGCGAGCGCTGAGGACGGAACCATTCCCAGACATGCGACGTCCTGATTTCTCCCTGACATCCTGTGGTGTTGGCTCCTCGTTTTAAAGAGACAGCGCCCCGCGTCCCACCTCCTCCCTCCTTCCTCCTCCGCTCCTCCTCCTCCCTCCTCCCCCATCCTTGCCTTTGCTCTCCGCATGTCTCAGCTCACCCACTCCTCCCATCAGCATCTTCATCACCATCATCATCATCATCATCATCATCATCATCACCATCACCATCACCATCACCATCATCATCATATATCATCATCATCATATCATCATCATCATCATCATCATCATCATCATCATCATCAGCATCACCATCATCATCATCATTCCATTCATCATCATCATTCATCAATCATCACCATCATCATCCCATCATCACCATCACCATCACCATCACCATCACCATCACCATCACCATCACCATCACCATCACCATCACCATCATCGTCATCATCGGCATCGCCATGGCTGATTCGTTTCGTGGCCCCATAGGGAGCTCCACCGAAGGCCCAAGTGGGGGGGGCCACATGCGTCCCCCACGCCCAGGACAGCGTTTCGTGGTCCCATAGGGAGCTCCACCGAAGGCCCCGGTGGGGGAGGCCACATGCGTCCTCCACGCCCAGGACAGCGTTTCGGGGCCCCATGGGGAGCTCCACCGAAGGCCCCAGTGGGGGGGGGCCACATGCGTCCCCCACGCCCAGGACAGCGCTTCGTGGCCCCATAGGGAGCTCCACCGAAGGCCCCAGTTGGGGGCGGGGCCGCATGCGTCCCCCACGCCCAGGACAGCGTTTCGTAGCCCCATAGGGAGCTCCACCGAAGGCCCCGGTGGGGGGAGCACATGCGTCCCCCACGCCCAGGACAGCGTTTCGTGGCCCCATGGGGAGCTCCACCGACGGCCCCGGTGGGGGGGGGGGGGGGGCACATGCGTCTCCCACGCCCAGGACAGCCTTTCGTGGCCCCATAGGGAGCACCACCGAAGGCTCCAGAGGGGGGTGCCACATGCGTCCCCCACGCCCAGGACAGCGTTTCGTGGCCCCATAGGGAGCTCCACCGAAGGCACCAGTGGGGGGGGCCGCATGCGTCCCCCACGCCCAGGACAGCGTTTCGTGGCCCCATAGGGAGCTCCTCCGAAGGCCCCAGTGGGGGGGGCCACATGCGTCTCCCCCACCCATGACAGAGCTTCGTAGCCCCATAGGGAGCCCCACCGGAGTCCCAGTGGCACAGTTCGCATGCGTCTCCCCCACGCAGGACAGCGTTTCTTGGCCCATAGAGAGTACCACCGAATGCGATACTCAGAACGACGGTATTCACAACTGCATATGGTTGGGTCCTTCGCCAGGCAAATTTCAGGACGGCGTCCCTGGAAGTCCCGACCCTTTCCCCAGGACCGGTTTTTCATCCTGAGTCGTTTTTTGACTGTCCCGAGGCCCGGCGAGGACCCCCCGGGGCCGAAAATACCCAAAAACCTTTCGTCCTGATTGTTTGTTACGACGCGAGCATGTCTGGGTTGGCACGTCTGCCAGCAGGCTCACCGTGCTTCTCAGCCTGTCGGCCGCGCATCGCTCCCCCGGGAACAAAAACACTTGTGGCTCCTCGTCCTCCTCCTCCTCCTCCTCCTCCTCCTCCTCCTCCTCCTCCTCCTCCTCAAAAACAACAAACACAAATCTGGACAAGCCCAGGTTCATCAACCGTCTCGGGGGGCGGCGCGGCGGCAACCTTGCACGCTTGCCTGATCTCTCGCTGCCAGATGGCCCAACCGGGCCGGCCAGCATGCCGCCGTTCGAAGACCTGGGCGGTCTGACGGCAAGCGCTTATCCACCCCGCGGGGTCGCTTCCTGCTCGTAGCAGGAGTTCGTGCGCGGCCGGGGTCCTGTCATGTTCGGTGTCATGAGGCTGCTGCAGACACTCAAGGTCTTCTTGAATGAGCTTACCCCGAAACTCTTTAGCCTGGCGCTCCATATCCAAGATCTGTCTGAGCTGGGGGGGAGGGGCGATGGACATCAGTCTCGCGATGCACTTGGGCCTCATCAGCCTAAGAACATCATAACCAAGAATCCTGTCAAACTCGAGCATCACGTGCTTGTTGGAAGCGCGGGGTTGGCCTTGGCGGCCAAGCCGAATTCCCAGGGCCGCCCGAGAGGGAGCGAGGTGAGCGGCTATCTTCGCACCACTTTCGCTTTGCTTCAGTTCACCCGAAACATGTCCATTGAAAAGGGGTTGAACGGTGCACAAAGACTCAACGTATTTGCATGTGGAATTATTCTCGAACCGCTTGGCTTTCAAGATGGTGCGACGAAGAGGTCCAAGCCCGGCCTTCTCTTGGGTTCTCCTGTGGAGTTACTCAGGTCCGAGTACTCTGCCTTGAATGCAGTAATCATGGCCCCCAAATGCTTAAGGGCCCCTCTGTTGTTGATCTGCCCGTCTGATGCTCTCCAGTGACTCCCGCACTCCGCAATTACAATTCACACGTTCGTTCCAGTTCGGCTGTCCATACTTGCGTTTCGACGCTGCTGCCCATCGCGTCATCTAAATCGGGGTTAGCCGACTGTTCACCCGTCGCGGGAACAGAACTCGAGTAAGAATATTGCCTGATGAAGCCATGCGGGCAAGGGGTGTCTCCTTGGACCCGCGGATTTGCTGACCTGTCCAGCAGTCTTCGGAGACTTTGGGCCTCCCCTTCGGCTGCGGGCAAGCACGAAGCCGCAGGGTGACGGTTTCGTACTTGAGCCAAAATGGCTACGGTACCTTCCTCCTCCTCCTCCTCCTCCTTGCCGCGCGGACGAAGACGATGTCGGGATCATGGCACTCCCCAATTCAGACCACTCGCTGAACTGCCGCGGGCTGCGAGCTCGACCTCCTTCCTAACGCGCGGACGAAGACGAGGTTGAGTTCACGACCCGTCCTTTGTCAGGCCACTCGTCGGAACTGGGCTGCTTCTGCACTCGGCCTCCTTTTCAGTCGGGCCTGTCCTCCGACAGGGGGATTTTGGACGAACAATGAAGAACGGTCACACAAAAAAAGTACCCCCGAAATGCTCAAACATGGTCGAACAGTCGTCCCCAGACTACTCGTTCTACGATTTTGGAATGCTCCTCCTGTATGGAGGGACGGGGCGACGGCCCCCCCCCCCCGCGCTGGCACAGAGCCGCGCGTGCCCGGGCGGGGCGGGCTGCTGGGACCCCCTGGCGGCGATCAGCGGGCGAGCAGGAGCCTGTTTTTTTGGATTCAGGCAAGTGTACTTGCATGGCGTTCGCCCCCCCCCCCCCCTCGCCCCTCTTCAAGCGAATACTAGCGTGCAAGTGCATTTCGACTTGCGTGATTTCCGCGCCCCCCCGAACGTGCAAGTCGTTTGCGGATTGCTTCAGGCTCAGCCCCCCCCCACCCGTCCATTCAAGTAAACTTGCCAGAGTCTAAAAAAACAGGCTCCAGAGAGCGACGCATCCCCCCCTAAGCCCAATGGATGGGCTTCGGGGGTCGAATGGGGGGGCCTGCGTTGTCAAGGCTGTTTTCATAAGGAGGCCGCGTTGTCCAGGTGTTTTGCATACAAAGGGAGGGACAGAGAGCGCGCGCGCGAGAAACTGGATGGGTGAGCGAACGAGAGATATGACGACAAGCACGTCTGCCTATTTTCCCAGCGCAAGCGCGGGCGCTGCCTGAGCCCAATGACCCCACCGCTTCGAGGGATGGAAAGACTACCCTGGCGACGTGCCAAGCCCCTGCGCAGTGCAGGACACGAGCGGCCTGGGGCACGCTATGCAGCGGTTATGGCGTGACATGGGCGCATATAATTCTGCGAGCGGCATTCGTGAGGCTCGCAGCCCCCCAGGGATGGCGAGGTCCCGCTCAGATCTGCACGGTGCCTCACTCCGCTGGACCCACCAGCAGCCTTCCCAAGTGCCGACAGCTTCGCAGACCGCCGCCCCCCAGGGACGGCGAAGTCTCGCTCAGATCTGCACGGTGCCTCACTCCGCTGGACCCACCAGCAGCCCTCGCAAGTGCCGACAGCTTCGCAGATCGCAGCCCCCCCCCCCCGAAGGGACGGCGAGGTCTGCCTCAGATCTGCGCGGTGCCTCACCCCGCTGGACCCACCAGCAGCCCTCGAAAGTGGCGACGGCCTCGCAGATCGCAGCCCCCCCTCCCAGGGACGGCGAGGTCTCGCGGGAGACAGGCGGCGGGAGGCGCGAGGCGGGAGAAGGACGCGACCGCCGTGCCCTGCTCAAGACGAGGGCCCAACCCAGGAGGGTTGGACACAAAAAAAACGCCCCTGCTCCGGCTTACAGGCGCGTGGTACGTCTGCAGGCCCTTCCAGGAGCTCCCCGGAGAGGCCAGAGCGAGGGGAGCCGCCTGGACGCCGCGCGACGCACGGGACGCGCAGGCTCGACCCCGCCGGGCCGCAGCAGGTGCAGCGCGCAGCGCCCCGCAAACCAGGGCAGGGGCGTTCTTGTTCCGTGTGGGAGGAGGAGTGAGGAGGAGGAGGAGAGGAGGAGGAGGAGGAGGAGGAGGAGGAGAGGAAGGGAGAGGAGGAGGAGGAGGAGGAGAGGGAGGAGGAGGAGGAGGAGGAGGAGAAGGGAGAGGAGGTGGGAGGAGGAGGAGGAGGAGCAGGAGGAGGAGGAGCAGGAGGAGGAGGAAGGCCCTTGCCCCCCCCTCGTTGTCCCCGACCCCCGGCCTCGCGCCCGCGGCCATCCCGGCGCGCGCGCTCCGGCGGCCGCGTCGGCGGCGGGCGGCGCGCCGAGGGCCCCCCCCTCGCCCCGAGGGGGCCTGCGCGGACGTCGAGGGCGCCTCGATCCTCGACCCGCGGGAGGCTCGGATCGCGGCGCCCCGCAGACCTTTGAGTCGGGCCTGTCCTCCCACAGGGGCCTCTTGTAAGGGGGAAGACAAACCGACCTCGCTCTTGACCACCCTCGCTTCCAAGGGGTACCAAACGATGCCAAACTGCGGCCTGTGCTGGTCGGGCCGCTTGACGAGGAGGCGCGTGGTATGACTTGGTTCTGCCTGGGAGCGAAAGCGGGGTAGGTAATTCACGCTCTGATTTTGGACGGAAAATGGACAACGGTCCAAAAATACCCCAGAATGGTCAAAACGAACTCCAAAGATCGTCCCCGGAGTATTTTTTGGACTCTCTCTTTGAATACTCCTCCTGTGGCGGGACAGGCCCGACTTGACGCAAAAACCACAAAAGGCTCTCAGAACATTGTCTGGTAAGGCCATAGGCGAGCCAGGACGCTTCGCCACTGCTTGCCAAACCAGGGCAGGGGCGTTTGGCTACTCCAGATTTCTTAATAAAGGGAGGGGGGGTCTCATTTCGGGGGGGGTATCTTCCAGGCTATCTTGGAGGCTATCTTGGAGGGCCTGGGGGGTCTGGGGACGATGTTTTGGAGGGTTCTCCCACGGGGGAGGTCTGAAATGGCTTGTCTTGGAGGGTCCAGACCCCCTCCCTTTTATTACGAAATCTGGAGTACCAAAAACGAGCGCTCCCGAACGGCCTGTACTGTCAGGCCGCTTGACCCAAGCGAAGGAGGCGCGTGGTATGACTTGGTACTGCCTGGCGCGAAAGGGGGTAGTAATTCACAGCACTGATTTGGACGAAAAATTGAACAACGGTCCCAAAATACCCCAGAACTGTCAAACGGACTCCAAAGATCGCCCCCGTAAGTAAAATTTTTTGGACTCTCCTAATCTCACTTTGAATACTCGTCGAGCCGTGGGGAGAGCGCGAAGGGAGCGCGTGTGCCCGACGTATGCAGCTGCCGTGCGCGCCCCACAAAGGGGGCGGGGTCGGGTCATCAGAACATTTACTGGGAGCGGTTGGTGTCGTGGATGCGGCGCGCGTGGACGCGTCGCCGCGCGAGCTTGCTTGGGCGGCAGGCAGGGGCGTTTGGTTACGCCCTCGGCGTGAGGAGGAGGGGGAGGTGGGAGGAGGAGGAGGAGGAGGAGGAGGAGGAGGAGGAGGAGGAGGAGGAGGTGGGAGGAGGAGGGGGGAGAGGAGGTGGGAGGAGGAGGGTGAGGAGGAGCAGGAGGAGGAGGGGGGAGAGGAGCAGATGGAGGAGGAGGAGGAGCAGGAGGAGGAGGAAGGCCCTTGCCCCCCCCTCGTCGTCCCTGACCTCGGCCTCGCGCCCGCGGCCCTCGTGGCGCGCGCTCGTCTCTGCGGCCGCCCCGGCGCGGCCGGCGCCGCGCCGAGGGCCCCCTCCTGACCCCCCCCCTCCGAGGGGCTTGTGCGGGCGTCGAAGGCTCCTCGATCCTGGATCCTCGATCCTGGAGGAGACGTCCTCGATCCTCGATCCTGGGGAGGAGACGCCCTCGACCCTGGATCCTGGAGGAGACGATCCTGGAGGAGGCACCCTCGACCCTCGATCCTGGATCCTCGATCCTGGAGGAGACATCCTCGATCTTCGACCCTCGATCCTCGATCTTACATTCGGACGGAGAGTTTTGGGGTCCCAGGGGAATCGGTCGGGACCTCTGGAGGTCGACCTCCGAAGGTGTTTGGGTTTCGGAGGTTCTGCGGTCGGGAACGTTTGCTTGGCGTGACGCCGCGGCGGCCCCGGCGACACGCTATGCCCTGCAAGCTGATAGAGTGCCGCTCCGATTCGCGGGGCGAGAGGCTTCGAAAGGCTCGGGACGTTGACGCCTCGGGACCGGGACGTGGATAGCGTGTCGCGCCGAAGCGTGGTGGGCCGGAGCCGGCGTAGCAACACGCTAACCAGAACTTCCCGACCGTTGTTCTGCGGTCACACCCTGAGGCCCCTGCGTGGCATTTTCAGGGCCTTGCATCGGGCCCTGGACAGCTCGATCCGGCTCGGAAAATGCAGCGGAAGGGTGGGGTCCATGGCTCGGGTTGCGTTTTTTGTTCGGGATGCCGCACGTGTTTCGCACCGTCGGATCTCAGGGCAAATGTCCGACGAGATTTTTTGAGCAGGGACCGACCGTCCCGGCATTCCTATAGTCCTACCACGAAATGTTCTTAGAACCCGAACATGTTCTAATAACAGGAACCATATTCTTATAACACACACACACACCCGACGTGTTAAACACAAGACAGTCTCGGCCAGAGATGTTCTAAGAACATTTCGTGCAAACCACAAAAGGTTCCTAGAACACTCTTTGGTAGGCCTATAGGCAAACTTGGACGCTTCACCACTGCTTGACTGTTTTCGCAGTCCCAGACTGCTCCTCGACTTCGGCATGTGGGGCCCGTCGTCGGATCCCATGGTCATCAAGAACGGATCCGCGGCCAAAAGACCTGCCAAGTGGGGAAAGGATCCGGCCATCTGGGGCCGAGCATAGTGATGGGCCTGTTCTCCACCACCACCATCAGAAGTTGGAGGGGGGGAAGAGGAGGAGGAGGAGGAGGAGGAGGAGGAGGAGGAGGAGGGAGGGGGAGAGGAGGCGGAGAGATGAGGAGGAGGAGGAAGAGGAGGAGGAGGAGGAGGAGGAAGAGGAGGAGGAGGAGGGGGAGCAGGAAGACCTCCTCCCCCTCCAGCTTCTGGTGGTGGTGGTGGTGGAAAACAGGCCCATCACATTGAAAACCACATCGTCGGATGGCTGGGACGACTTCTCGTTCCTTCCTGGTCTGCACCGCTGCGCCACCCGTGCCGGCGCAGCCTCTTCAGAGGACGGTCGCAGCCTGGTTGCAGGTCTCCCCGCTTGCGCTCGGATCTTCAAAGCCGACCAGCCATAACTGGGGAAGCTGTGGTCCGTACCCCCCTGGGGGAACCCATCGCATCGACGATATCTCGAGAGGGGTGTCGAAATCGATGGGTCCCCCAGGGGGGTAAGGACCACAGCTCCCCCAGTTGTGGCTGGCCTGCAAAGGCCTCTGGTGCTTGGCGTTTTTCCAGGCCCAGGGTCGTATCCATCTGCGGCGCCTCGTCCAAAGCATTCTGGGGAGCCGCGACTCGTCCCGAGCGGTCAGCCAGGACCCGAGGCATGGCCGGGAAGGCCGGCCAGAGGAAGAGGACGCCCGCTCACGGCGGGGCGCCGTGAACAAGGGAGCACCGCCGACGCATTCGCAGTGGGCCCTCGGACACTCGCGGGTGGATCCTGGCTCGAGGAGTGCCGCAGAAGCGTGGGGGTCGGGGGCTCTGGTCGTGATTGTTCGCGACACTGCTTGAGGCCGCTCGTACGGTGGTGCAGGTCGAGATAAGGAATGAACGCAAATGGAGGCTTGGCCATGGCTATCACCGCCATTCTTGTCAGAGAAGCAATCCACCAGGGTCTGAAGCTTCCTGGGCACTTTCCCTAACGAGCCCCCCCAATGCATGGGCACAGCTAAGCAGAAAACGGAAACACTTTTGGACGCCTAGCTTATCCGGGATAACGGCTGTCCGGGGTAACTCCGGTTTGGCCCCCGAGGCGCGAATCTGCGGTCACCCCTGACTGCCCCCAGCCCGGATGATTCGGGAGGGTTGCGCGCCCGACTCATCCGGGACAACTGCGGTCCGGGGTAAGTCCAGCTTGGGCCCCCGAAGCGCGAATCTGCCCCTGACCGCCCCCAGCCCTGATGATTCGGGGCTCTGGCACGTGGCGGGCACCCACCTGCCTCTCTGGGGATGCCTTCCTGGAACGCGCCAGTGGTCCCTCCCCAGACCCCCGACGTCATGACTTTGTCGTAACGCCGACCCTCAGAAGTCTCGACCCATTCCCCGGGACCAGCTTCTCATCCTGCGCCGCGTTTGACAGTCCTGGGGCCCGGCAAAAGGGCCCCCAGCTCGGGGCCGAACATGACGAGAAGCCTCCCGCCGTGATGTTACACGACTCGCGGGGATCTTTCCTCCGAGGTGCCCGCCGTCGCTGCCTTCCCTGCGCGCCGCCCAGCTTGGCTGCCTACCAGCGCGCCATGGGTACGGGATCGGGAATCTGCGGCGCCCTGACCTCCGGGCGCACCCCGCGAGCCGACGGCCTGCAAGGGGGGGCCGAGGCTGCCCCCCTCGAGCGGCCTCCTGGCCCTCCGCGGGCAGCCCCCGGCCGCTCTCCCCGCGCCCCCGACGCCACGACTCCGTCATGACGTCGACCCCCAGCGGTCCCGGGCCTTGCCGTCGCTCGGACGTCCATGCCCTGTGCAACTTTCGGCTTCGCGCGTGTTCTGGCTTGCTCGATGATCCAGGATGCTCCTCCAGGGTCCTCGCCGAGAAAAAGATGCACGGTCCCGAGGGCTGGTGAGGGCACCCGGAGGCCGAAGATCGTGAACAAAAAACCTCCCGTCGTGATTTTTGTTCCTGGCTCGAGGGGGTCTGCTCGCCCGACGCCCGTCATGCTCTTGTCCCGATGCCCCGCGGGGGCCTGGGGCCCCGGACGCCGCAGGACCCCTCTGCAGAGAGCCGCCCCCCGCCGCCCTCCGAGCCCCGCCGGCCTGCGACCTGCCCCCGTCCTCGACGCAGCCGTCCGGAGGCAGCTGTGCTGGGAGGTCTTCGCCGGCAGGATGGAGGAGGACTAGAAGCCCAGACCTCCAGCGCATTGGAAGACTCAAGACGGAAACGTTTCTCGACTTTCGGCCTCTATAGCGGCCCTCGCCCGGCCCCGGGACCGTCAAAAAACGACTCGGGATGAATAACGGGTCCTGGGGAATGGGTCGAGACTTCCGGAGACCCCGTATTGAAAGAATCACGACGTCGGATCTCCGGGAGCCCCACTGGGCGGCTGCTGCGTCGGGTTAGGCCGCGGATCCTGCGGGATGAAGCCGGATCAAGAGGGACCAGGCCGGATTGTAAGCGGGACCAAGCCGGACGAAGCCGGATTTCGGACCAGGGCAAGCTCTGAACTCGACCTCCCAGGAGTGTCATCCGAATCGACGTGACCCCGGGCTCCCGAGAAAAAAAGGCAGTGCTGGCGGCGCGCAGGAGGGCGGGCGTGGGGGAGGGGGGGCGGCTTCGTAGAACCCAGGCCCCCTCGAATTGTGACAAACATCGAGGCGGGAGGTCCTTCGAAATGTTCGGCCTCTGGCGGCCCTCCCCGACCCTCGGGACCGGCCAAAACACAACTCAGGACGGCAAGCCAGTCCCAGGGAAGGGGTCCAGACCGCCGGGGGTCCAGGTCATGAACAGATCACTACGTCGGGGGTCTGGGGGGGAAGGCTGCTTAGCAGGAGGCCGCTTCCTGGAAGGCGCCGGCCTTGCATCTGCAGACCTGCAAGGCCCACGCCTCTTCGAAGGAGCAGGGTGCTCTAAGACGCCTTCCCCCCTGCCCCTATACCCCCAGACGTGCGACGTCTTGATTTTTCCAGGACGGCGTCCCCGGGAGTCCAGAACCCTTCCCCAGGGCCGGTTTGTCATCCCGAGTCGTTGTGTGACGGTTCCTGGGCCTGGCGAGGGCCACCGAGGGCCGAAAAGTATGCTGAAAATTGTGCCGTCCCGATTGCTTCACGCCGCGATCCTGTCTGGGCCCCCTTCTGCGCGAGGGCCGACTGTGGTGACCCCCCCAGCGGCGACCCCCCCCCTCGCACGGCCCGATCTCTCGGGTGGGGCCATAGGGGCCAGCAGCTCCGGGAGGCACGCCTCGCGAGAACGCCCCGGGGGATCGGGGATCCGCTGTTGGGTCGGGCATGTCTCCCTACAGGGGGATTTTCGACGAGAAATAAAAAATACCCCAAAAATATTCCCAAATAGCCCAAATACCCTAAATCGTCTCCATACTTTTTTGGGTGTGACTATTTTTGAAATGTCCTCCTGTAGAGGGGCAGGCCTGACTTAAATCTACTGACCCGCGTCAATCCAAACTCGGGTCAGTCAGGCTCTGCAGGACCCTGCCAAAGCCCGCCGGCTCCTGCAGGATCATGCGCGCTGGCCTGCGTCAGGGCTCCCGTTGGCCCTGCAGGATCCTGCAAGACCCAGCGTTCTGGCTGACCCCCGTGTGCGTTCACCCCCGTCTCTTGAGCCCCGAGGGGAAGCCGCGAGATCCCGACACCGCTGCTCCCCAGACTCCTCCCAGGGGGGAGTTCCTACCAGGCGGTCGAGGCGAAACCGGCGTTTGCGACACAGGCCTCTCACAAAAGGGCCTTCCTGGAAAGCGCTGGTGGTCCCGTCCCAGAGATCCGATGTCGTGATTTTTTCAATACGGGGTCTCCGGAAGTCTCGACCCATTCCCCAGGACAAGTTATTCATCCTGAGTCGTTTTTTGACGGTCCCGGGGCCCGGCGAGGGCCGCTAGAGGCAGAAAATCGAGAAAAACCTCCGTCTTGATTTTCTCAAGACGTTGGAGGTCTGGGATCCCAGACACCCGACGTCACGACTCTCTCATGACGTGGACCCCCAGCAGTCTGGACCCACTTCCCAGGGCGGGCACCGCCCTGCCTCTCCATGGGGGGCCTCCCTGGGGAGCGCGCGGGTGGTCCCTTCCCAGACCGCCGGCGTCGTGATTTGGTCGCAACCTCGGCCCGAAGTCTGGACCCATTCCGCGGGGCCGGGTTCTCGTCCGAAGTCGTTCCTGGGCGGCCCCCGAGGCCAGCAGGGGCCCCCACGAGGCACACGACAGCGAACACAACGGGCCGCCGCGATCAGCCCGAGGGGGTCCGGGTCGGCCCGCCGTCCTTCTCTGCACCCTATGGCGCCCATCGGCAGCGACGATATAGGGGCGAATATAGCCCAGGGGCGGGCACGACACGCATTCGCCCCGGGAGCCTCGTCGAAGACACGGATCATCGGCCCTCCTGGATACATGCATTGCTCCCCCCTCCTCCTCCTCCTCCTCCTCCTCCTCCTCCTCCTCCTCCTCCTCCTCCTCCTCCTCCTCCTCCTCCTCCCACTCCTCCTCC